CTCACTGCAATATGCAACTCTAACTCCAGGGGATCCAACTTCCTCTTTTGACCTCCTTGGTCATAATCTCATTCACACACACACACACACACACACACACACACACACACACACACACACACACACACACACCCAAACACTTTTAAAACTCTTTAAGCACTTAGAAATTAATGGTAGGAGGTCCGGTGTGCCTGTGGCCCATGTGGATGTCAGAGGATATTTTGTGGATTCAGTTATCTCCTTCTGCCTTACGTGCTTCCAGACATCTTCATCGGGTGTCTGTCTAGGTTTGCATGTGTCTCCCTTTCTCTGGGGAGCCACTTTGGTAGCCCTCACTAAATACTTCTGAGTACATACCCGAGTGACCCAGTCTTCCTATATGTCATGACTTCCTTAAATGGAATCCTGAGAAATGAATCTGAATTCCATAGACAAAATTTTATGCATTTTTCTCCATATGACTAAGGTACTCTATAAGAGCATAGATTAATGAATAAGTTCATTTTGTGTGTGTACGTACTCACTGACACTTAAGTAGAAGAAGCCAAAGTCTAGTTCATAAAAGTCAACCCCACACTTAGGAGATTTTAATGGAACATATCAAATAAAAGTGAAGCAAGGTTGGAGTCAAGCAAACCAAATCAATGCTTCACCATGTGCTTCTGTTCTATAAACAAGCAGCTCTACTCTCTAACTCAAAATCACTTGATATATCATCCTCTGTAGTCTTGTGACCATTAACCGTACTCTGAATTTATAAATATCCATTAGAATAACTGGCTTATAGGCCAGTGTTTCTCAACCTGGGGGGGGGGGGTTGAGTGATCCTTTCACAGGACTTTCCTAAGAGTTTCAGAAAATCATATATATTTACATTATAATTCATAACAGTATCAAAATTACAATTAGGAAGTAGCAAATAGAATAATTTTATGGCTGGGATGTCAGCACAACACGAGGAACTGTATTAAAAGGTCGCAGCATGAGGAAGGCTGAGAAGCACTGCTCTAGACCTTGACAAATGCTCCTTTGTTTTCTTCTCCAGTCTCTCAGATTTACAGTTTATACAAAGATGACCTGTAGACACTGTCTATGTTTTTATATTTCCCATCTGTGGTTTGCTCAGCATCTTGAAGAGGAGATAGTGATTTTGCAGAGCATGACCAGACACGATTATAAACAAAACAATGAAGCTTATGCATCCATGAGTCCTCCTTAAGTGTCAGCTCTTAGAAGCCAAGGAAATTCTGATCTTTGCATTCGATTCAATTCACTTTAGCAATGATTCTTTATTCATCGTCTCACATAGCAGCAATAAGACACTGGTCGACTCGGCACACTCAATAGCTTGATGACGTCTTCAGGGACCAGTTTCTCTCAGTCTGGTCACAATCATTAAGTTTGAATGGCTCCTTCAGATAAGAAGACAATTAGAATAGTCTGCATGCATCAACTTGAGACCATATTGTGCAGAGGTAGAGAATCCCCTTTCTGTACCTCTGGTACTTCCCCTCACTTCTCATTTAGCAGTACTAGATTTAAATGTTCTGTTCTAAACTAACAATATGAAGGAAGACCCTGAGTGGACTCATCAGAATTAATCCTCCTATGTCAGAGCTTATAAGTCTCTTAGAGGAAGAAAGACAAAGCAAATGCAGGGTTGACTTTTCCAGCCAATAGAAGAGAATGGCAGGTGGCTTGTGTGTATATATATAACTTCGTACTGGCATAACAAAGGTCAGCTCAACCTGTCTTCAAACGATTCATTATGTTCCATAAATTAACTCTATCCCTGGAGGGGAGGGGCAAAAGAAATGTCAACAAAATGATGACTTATAATAATAATAATTGACATTTCCAGATGTATAGATTTCAAACATGTAGCATGTTTGTAAGAGAAAAGGGCCAACCAAAGAAATACATCCTGAGCAGAGCCAAAGAAACACACTTTACCCCTGGAATCACAGCCAGTGAAAGAAATACACCCTGATCCTAAAATGAATTTTAGCCAAAAGGCTAAAAAGGACCAGTGAAAGAAATACACTTTGGCCCTGAAATCTGACCCTAAACCTGTGCAAAAACAAAACCCAAAAACAAAACAAAAACAAAAAAAAAAAAAAAAAAAAAAAAAAAACCCAGTCCCTGAGCAGGAGATCTAGCCAGTCTAAACACAAGGATTGAAATCTAACCAATCCCCACCCTGGAAATCCCCCTAGGAAAACTCCACCACCAAAGAAGCCCTATATAAACCCTGCGTCTGTTCAACTTGTGGCTGTTTGGCCTCTCTGGCTGTCCTCTGCCACCCTGGGAGAGGGAGCCACTCTCCTGGATTCTTCCCTGCCAATTAGTACCTGAATGAGGTTCAGGTGAGACCTTCTATTGCTGCTTTTGTGGGGACAGAGATGCAGAGAAGACCCTGAGTGGACCCTGGGTAGAGTGGGCAAAGTGAAGTTATTACACTCCACCCTCAAGGGGACTGGAGCCCAACTGTAACAATTTTGCCCAGGGAAACCCTCTCCTGCCAGAGCAGAGCTGATACACTGGAAAAGCCTTTCCCTGAAACAGGGCTGTAAGCTGCTAGGTCTACTGTGACCTGAGATATTCCTTGGTGGCAGAATTCCTTTCCACCTGAGCTGTAACACTCAGTATTCTGGCTCCTGAGTGCCAGAGTCCCTGTCCATTCCATCTGAGCCATCAAAATGCTTACAATGTTTATTATCCAATTACACCTTAATCAGTTCTGTGCAATAGCTAAATGATTAAATGACTTATATTGTTATCATAGCTTAATAGCTGAAGGATGCAAGTTGGGAGACATTGAAGCCATTTTCTCTGAGCTAGGCACCTGGTACATAGCCACAGCTAGAACCAAAGCCTGGATTTCATAGAAAGAACCCTTCTTTTCTCTTTCGCACCAGGCAACCTTTAAAAAATTTGGAGACACTAAAATGCTGCAAAAAGGTCTAGAGGACTCTGAATTTGTAAATTGAAGATTTTGGAAAAAGACAAGTATCAAAGATTGTATTTAAGGAGAAACATTTTAACTTGTGCTAAAAAAATAAAAATATATGGCACCATGGGATGTCTTAAAAAAAAAAAAAAAAAGGAGATGGAAAGGATAGGTGTGGGTCTTTTATTTATTTCTTTTTCTTTTTTTTTTTTAAATTCAAATGGGTTTCACCTATACTCAATGGGGTTGCAGACTGGAGAGCTGTCCTATGTTGACATAAGGCCCTTTACTGAAGGAGGTTTGGAAATAGAACTCTAGTTTCATCATTTACTGAGTCTACTAACAACTAAATCAGTCAAGGGTCAGCTGCTCCAAATGTGCATGCTGCCCTCTATTGACCTTTCCTGCAGAGTTCAGGAGCACCCAGATTTCTCATATGTAGATGTTCTTGGCAAGTTCCTTACTGATTTCAAGAGAACTCTTTCATGAACCCTGTGTCCATCTTAACACATTATTAACCATCCCCATTTCCCTGCCAATGATAAAGTTCTAATATTTCATTTAAGAAAAAAGTCTGTAAGCACCAAAAGTAAGTAAAAGAACCTAACTTTCATACAAAAGCACACTATCAAATAAACAGATATGTTTCAAATAATATTCACATTTTTGTATACAGTATGCCAAGATTAATATTAGGAATTAGGGGTATAGCAGAGAGGAACACACACACACACACACACACACACACACACACACACACACCATGTCTTCATGGAGATTATATTCTAACTAAAACAATGTATAGAAAAAGATAGTGAGGTATTATTAAAATAGCTTCTAAAGTTTATTCAGGGAGTAATCATGGAAGGTCTTCAGAAGTAGCAGAGGGCTGAAATTGAGAACTTGTTTCGTAACTTGGTAAAATTCTCCTTGAAGGAGAATTGGTAACTTGGTAAATTGGTAACTTGGTAAAATTCTTCGGTAAGAAGGGTGTATGGGTAGAAAGTCCTTAAAACCATGGGGAAGTTGAAATTGCTTATAAACAAACTGGAGATTAGAAAACTCATGGGCAGAGTAAGAGAGGTAGACATGTAATCAGGAGAGCAAAGTAGATGTGGTGGGCCAGAGGAGAGGAGGGTTTGAATGCAATGCAATACAGAGTGGTTTTATGTTTTAATATGACATTTTAAGAAGATACTGTCATAAAAGGATATCATAGAGGCCAGAGACTCTCCAGTACAGTAATAGAGAATGAATTGACCCAAGTCATCATTACAGTGTTGTATTTACTGACCACTGTGCATTTTCAGCTGAAAACTTGGGTTTCAATTTATTCACCTCTAAAATGAGAACAAAGTGTTTGAAATGGAGATGTTGCTTGTGTTTCATTTCTAATCCACAAGGAAGCACCTCCATCTTTTTAATGATCATAGTACTCATTCCAATGAAACTTCAACCTGAGGTTTGAAAATACAGCCAAAGGTCAAAGCATGGAGGTGAGTTCTAATAAAGATGAAAATAGGGTTATAAAATTGTCTTTTTAATTTTTTTATTCAGAAACAATCTTATTTTACATATCAATCAACACATTTCCTCTCCCATCCTCCCATGCTCCCCACCAACCCTCCCAACCCACCCCTCCAATTCCCAAGAATGGTGAGGCCTTCCATGTGGGATCATTAAAGTCTGTCACATCACTTGGGGGAGGGTCTAGGCCCTCCATTTATCTGTGCTGAAATATTATTATCCCTCCATGATGAATGGGCTCCCAAAGTGAATTTATGCACTAGGGATAAAAATTGATTCCACTGTTAGAGATCCCATGGACTGCCCAGGCCTGCTAACTGCACCCACATTCAGAGGTTGGTTTCAGCTTTATGACTGGGGTCCTTGTGCTCTCACTAAGTCAGGTCAGCTGTTCCTGTAGGTTTCTCCATCGTGGTCTTGACTGCTTTGCTCACCTCCCACCCCCCACATCTGGATTCCATGAGTATGGCTTAGCTGTGGGAAATGTACATTGACTCTGAAGCTTCTATCTTTTCCTTTCCAGACTCACAATACCTAACTTGCAGGATGCAAAACTGCACAGATGCCAACAGAAATAAGCCTTTCCCAGGCTACATTGACCCTGACTCTTTGATTGTTCAGGATGATTATGTGTTTGTTCAGGTAAGAAAACCCTACTTCTGTTCATTTGCTGAAGGCATTTCTAGTCTATGTCTTGTTATAGCCCTTTCTGCCTTCCTGCACACGCTCAGTGGAAAGAAAGAAATGGATTGGAAAGGGAGGACAAGAAGGACAAAGAGGGGAAGAAGGTGAAAGCGGGTAGGAGGGGAGAAGGAAAGAGGAAAGGAAAGGGGCAGGGAGGAGGGAGGCTCACTGACTATTTATTCTTTATCCTACTTTCTGTAGGGATTTACCAACCTATGTAAATTTGCTGCATTGACCCAGGAATGATACAGACTTCCATTTATGTGTTTCCCCAAATAAGCCCTGGCCACTGAGTGTACTGAGGTGCTATATCCATTTCTCCTTATCACAGAAATTGCCATCCCTTCAGCCCCCTCCTCAGTATTAATTTAAAATAAAAGAATGTGAATGGGAAATTGTGGACAGATAGAGGTGGAAATGGACAGATTCCAACTAAAAATGATCCCCTGGTACAGTCAGGAACCACTGTGGTCTCCAGGGGAACATGGCATAGATAATGTCTTCTCCTAAGAAGGGGAAAATGTTTGAGAAGGTGAGATTCATGAGTAGTAGCAAGAGACAACCAGTAACCATGTGTTGCTTCTTTAGTGCTTAAGAAAAAGTTTAGTGTTGTCAATTCATCTAAAAATCATGGAATCTCTTTCTAGGGGAAGAATGAAAAAGGTATAATTGCAAAATACATGTAAAAATGTGTACATCATGCCAATTCAGTGTATACATCATATAGTATAAATGTATTTCTGAACATATAATGGTATACACATATACTACAGTTGAGGTACATTCTAGACACAGGTTTATTTGGAGAATTAATTATGGTATTTAATCCTGTTCATTAAAAGAAGATTGCCTAGCATCGGCCTAGGTAATTTTGAAATGTTTCACAAGTGATGATTATGCACATCCCAGTTCCTTTTTCTTCGAGAAGTATGCAATGAACACTCGGATAATTTCACATGACATCCAAATTGCTGCATGTGTTAGTCCTGTCTGATTCACTTCTCTACCATTAATGCTGTCAGGAATCTTTCCCCGGTTTCTGGCAACAGTTTATAATCCACATATCTGACATACAAATCAAAGTCAGAATTTATATTTAGAATTATATGAACAGCCTCCTATAACCCATCACTTCCACACTCAACTCTGAAGAATGTCGTTTTCAAGTCACTCCCTTGTCCTATGATCATTTATTGCAGTTGACATCCCACATGTTGACATCCCAAGTATGCAAACTCCAGTGACATTCAAACTGCCGATACTTACATAAGGCTCAATTTGCTCTAAAGAGAAACACATTCTCGGGGGTGCCCAGGGTAGCATTCAAGTCTGGAAGAAAACAACGCCTTTTCTTCCTGTCCTACGAGCCCTTCAGGATCCTTAGACCTGCTTTGGACAAGACAGTGGCAGTTACCATGGTTTTCTTCTGAAAGATGGAGACCTAGAATTAATTTGGAACTCAAACCCGAAGTGGCTTTCTGCTAACATGCTTTGAGATACTCTTAGGTGTCAGTGCAATGCAGTCAAACAGTAACTGTATGTGGTGAGGAGAAGACTTCTCTCCACTATGGAACCTGGGCTTTTCCCTCCTAGCCAAACATGGTCATTTGTGTGGTATCGACTTGAGTCTGACAAGTTAGAAGCTAGTCTGCTGAAGTACACTGAGATAATATCTCCTGAGGCTTCTAGCCTTGGGAAGAACAATGTATATATGATATAATTATATATATATATATAATAAATGCATTTATATGTTGAATATATCTAGATACATACATAGATTTACAAACACACACATTTACTTTTGTGTGTCAGTGTTTTTCCTTTCCTGTTTTTATGTCTGTGCACCACATTCCTGGCTGAGGTTAGAAGATGAATAAGAACCCTTGAAACTGGAGTCATAGATGATTGGGGGCTGCACTGTGGTGGGGGGGTGCTGTACTGTGGATACTGGGAATCAAACACCTGTCCTCTGGAAGAGTAACAAATACAAATATGCAGATTACATTTTTGTCTATTAGATGATGTTGCTGGGCTTCTGAGCACACTTTTACAGTAAGTAAGCAGGCAGCTTTTCTGCTAAATACCGGCCACTGGTAGTTGTCCTTTGCAGGCATCTTTGGTGCTCTGTGGCCGCTACCTACTTTATTCAGGCAGCTGTTCTTCTGTGACCCCAAATGTTTCCAGTAGCTTCTCTCACCACCTTGTTTCTGTGATCCAGCTGACATCCGGAGGAAGACCACATTACTACGTGTCCTACCGAAGAAGCACCTTTGCACAGATGAAGCTCCCGAAGTATGCTTTGCCCAAGGTACAACACACTGGGTTGCATTTTTCCCTGCTCTCCTTTCTGCCTCCATCAGACTCTCAAGGTCACAGGCAGCCTCCGCTAATGAGTCCCCTGCTTCATCCACCCCACTTCCGCAGCTAGACTTCCCAATTTCTCTCGTGCAATTCTGTCTCCCTCTCTCCGTGGGTCCATTTCCCGTTCCCTTTCCCTCTGATTTTTTTCCTCCTTTAGAATTCTTCCTGCATAGACATCTGGATAAATTAAAAATACCCTTGTTTTTGCTTTGCAATATTAAATATTCCTGAGCAGTATGTTTGTTTTTAAATGAAAACAGAAAAAAAAAGTTAACTTTGTGTTTTAGCCTGGCAGTTGTTCTCAGCAGGAGTTGGGAAAACTGGTTATCTTCAGAGACCTGAGGCACAGCTGAATGTTTTGCCTGTTCTATCCATTCCCCTTCGAAAACAGTGGAGAGCAGAAGTGAGACCCTCATCCCTAGCATCCTCACACAAACTGAAAAACTGTGTTAATATGGAGTGCCACCTAGTGGAAAGCAGATGATGTGGCCTTTCAAAAAACAAAACAAAAACAGGAAAAACCAAAAGCCTTTTAGCAGTCTCACTGTTTCTGTGCTAAAGTGACCAAAATTTAGTTTATTGTGGCTTAATTTTAGAGCAATTGAGATGTATATGTGTTAGAGTGAGGGGTGAGAAAATGATCACATTGACATGCATAGAATTATACCTCAACTTTGAAAATTTTATGCTGAACAAAGAATATAATGAAACTTATTTTGAGCCAAGTCTCGTCCTTTAGTGAAGCTGGAGTGTAAGAGCAGACTGAGAGTTGTTAAACATTGTGCATGGTAGTCTCCCATGAAGGATCCAGAGGGAGATATCAATTCAGGAGGGGAGGAGTACCCTCCCCGTGCTGAGTACTGAAATGAAGTGTCTGTGATTCATTCACCAAAATTGGAAAAATAAATCTTGGAAGATTTTTACATTTAAGAACCAGATTTCTAGTCAGTGCAGGGGAGGTGCCCTGATTCAAGAGGCTTGCAGACCTGAGCCTAAATAAGGGGACTACAGAATCCAGTCACCCATCGCATGATTGCTCTTAGCAGAATGATCTCAGCCAAAGCCAATTCCAGTTGCCATAGGTGAGGTTAGAAGCTAGACTTTCTTATGTCCATGCTAGTTATTGTTTTGATTTTTTTCTCCAGGCAGGTAAATGAATGACTCCCACTGTTAAAACTTAGCATGCTCCCCTCCTCACCAAATTTGTTGTGCTATCAAAACTTGGAGGAAGGGGAAAGCCTTCCTTGGTCTAGGGATCCTACGAGTGGTAATTTGAACTGAGAGACTTTGTGGAGAGGCTGCTGGAGACTGGAGGACAGGTATTTTACATTGCTTGTTCATGGTCTTCACAAAGATCACTGTTGGCAGCTGTCCCCAGCGGCCTCTGGACAATCTAGAAGGCTAAGCTTCCTTTGGAGCTAATCTGGCAATCTCCTCCACCACCCCAGCACCTGCCACCCAGATGATCCTGTTCTACAACTTAGCTTCATTTGAGTTCTTTGGGTAGAATGCAGTGATTAATTTGTCTTGTTACTTCAAAAATGGAAGCGAGTGTAGCACATAATGGATTATTTGGTCCAGGTGGGTGTTTATAATGTACAGCAAAGAGAAGCTTCATTATAATCCCATTATGGCTTCAAAGAGAAACCCCAGCGTGAGTGGAATGTTGTGCCACAAAGGGGCTGCATTCCATGGCCTTCCTTCTGTCCGAACCAGGGCTGCACCTGCAGATGAGCAAAGCTTCCTGCTGACCTAAGGAATGGAGACACATCTTCCTTCTCGTGCACAGATATCATTAGTCACCTACTGACATTGTATGAGATGTTGTAAGACCAGAATGCTGCCTTTGGCTGTGTGTAAACAATTAATAATGGTGAAGAAAAACCAACAAAGAGTGATAGTTCAAAGTTACCATTGCAAGTAAGAGTACATGGCCTGTTAGACAGAGTGACATAGTGACAGTTCTTCCTTCCCCTCACTCACTTGGAGCCTGTTCTTAGCAAGTCCAGTAAGACAGATGAGGCAATACATAGAAAAGTGCCTCAAGTGTTTTGGAGCACAGATACTCTATAAAAGCAAGGTAATATTATTATTAGTATGGATCTAGTTGTCTCCATACTGGAAGATGGATGGGTACCAGGATGCAGGGGGGTACCAAAGATGCTCAGTTTGTAACAGGAGACCTGACTTCAGACCTGGATCCATCACTAACTTGCTTAGACACCTCAGCTATCTGGGTTTTATTACTTTTTCTTTTATTCATTTTTTTAAAAAATAAAGAGCTTAGATTCAAAACAATATTTTCCCCTATTTGTCACTCAGAATAAAATGTCCTTAGTGATATATTGGAAAAATTTGGTTCTAGAGTCAAATAAGTTTAAAAAGAAAGTAAACTTCAATCCATGTGCCTCCCTTAGAGACTAGCAAGAGGTCACATTCAAGGGTCCATGAATGTCCTATGACCAACAAAGTCTTTATTTCAGCATTAATCAATAGTTAACCAGCATGCATGGCTGAAGAAACCAATAATAACCCAGCCTCTAGGAGCCTCTAGGATTATCAGTAGTTTGAGTTCAGGAGCTGGAGAAATGGCTTAGTAGTTAAGAGTTTGTGCTGCTCTTCCAGAGGACCTGAGCTTGGTTCCCAGGATCATCTAGCCCCAGCTCCATGGTATCTGAACATTCTTCTGGCCTCCAAGGGTACTCACATGTGTGTATAGTATATACTAATAAAGATGAACATACTCATATACATAAGTAAAATAAAAATAGAACTCAAAAAGGAAAAAAGTTTGAGGCCAGCTTAGTTGATAGAGTTATTTCAAGGCTATCTTAGTTATAGAGCTGACTGTATAGCATGATTTTATTTTATAATCAAACAAACAGACCCAAATGAATAAATCACCACCACTAATAAGAGCTAAAGGTTCTAAAAAAGATGTTTCCACCCCTACTGAAAAATATATTAAACTCCAATAATACTAGTATCCCTTAGGACAGATTTTGCAAGGTGTTCCAGTAGAGCTCCAAATAAGAGTCTGAATTGGTCTAGAATCATGGGAATCAGTGAAGAACACATTTTTTAAATAAGGGTTTGATGAAAGGTGAAATAAATTATAAATGTATCAAATTTTTATGGCCAGTATCATCATTTAAAATCCCTTTAGTGAAATTACATAAAGGTAAAAAAGGTTGGTTTGCGACCTTTAGACATGCAACCTATTAGCATTATATGACAAGTTCTCTAAGCCACCCTGCTCAAGCTATTTAAATAAGCTGTATTTTTGATACATTATTGGTTACTTGTCATATTTCTGTGATAACATATCCTCACAAAAGCAACTGAAGGGAGAAGGGCTTTATCTTGGCTCACAGTTCAAGCATACTCAGGGTTAGTTTCCTTGAAACAGGGGTTTGAGGCAGCTAGTCCTTTTGCATCTGCTCAAAGGAAGCAGAGGGAGAGGAATGTCTGTGCTCAGCCACCTTGCCTATCTGTATTCAGTCCAGGTCAGAAAGTCCTTAGTGCTAGTCCTATTCAGGGTGGGTCTTCCCAAGCCATTTAATCCAACCCAGAGAATGAAGGTGTTCCCAGAGCCTTATCTCCAGGGTAATTCTTGTCAGCTGACAATTAACATGAGCTATTATCTACAAGTGCCAAATATACATAGTGGATTATGAAGTATGATGCTGTAGAAGTGTGATGACAGTCTCCCATGAGTATGTTCTCAAATCTGTTGTGTGCGTCCATCAAAAGTTCACTGTTGCAGAAATTCACACCGAAGCCCATGGGTGGGAATTGGCTGTGCTAGGCTCTGCTTTCATTTGAAACAATTTAACAGAAATCCAGGATTATAAAATACTTGATGGAAAGAAGCATAAACAGGAGGTAGGTGTTCAACCATTTTAAAGATTTTGGTTTCTATCCTATTATGAATTAAGACCCATGGGAGGTGTATCCCCGTGGATGAGTTAGTGCATTTTATGATAATTTCCTCCATCAGACAGAAAACATTTGGATAAACCTCCTCTTGAGTATATTGTTGAGTGAATACTTAAGTATTTAAAAAGCAGAGACATCAAGTTGATCTTTTGTGATCAACATAAGGGATAGACAGACTCCCTAAGGTAAAACATTCTCCATGCATGAAACATACTTTAAGTGTTGAACACTGTAATGCTATTTAAGACTTGTTAGCATTATTTCCACTGCCCTATGAAGGACATGTTCTTGTTATCTCGAGGTCACAGATAGAATGTCTGAGCATGAAGTTCCCTTCAGATGACTGTGTCACAAGCCAAGACTGATCTTAGGTTATAGGAGCTTGAGGATAGAACTATGACTCAAGCTCCACTGAACAATCTGGATTCAGAGCATTACCAGGGAAGATCAGATGTGAAGTGTCAGTTTGGGAAGATTTGAGTTTTACATTATACAAAAGCCAAGGACAATTTTATTTTATTATTTTGCTATTTATTTTTTATACTTATAAAAATAAGTATATTTTGGGCCTTTTCATTTCTTAACTGTCACAGGATTATAAAGCAGCCCAACAGGCTTCCCTGAAGGAAACAGTAAGTCTTGGATGGTGACAGATTGTTTAGAATAGTGGTAGACAGTGGCAAGAATCCAGAATGGAAGAATGAAGGATTTGGAATTCTTGCCAGAAGATAGGGGACAAGGCCTCCATGTTTCATTCAAGTTATTTCTATGTCTGGTAACCTTGAAGTTTCAGAGCATCACCCTTAATGATGATTCCATCATCTCTTGTGTAGTTTTCTTAGAGAACTTAGCAGAGGAAAATATTGGATTAGTAGCCAAGTCCTCAAATTAATCACACACACACAAACATTAATGCTTTGGAGGTTTCTGGTGGACACTTTTTTCTCCTGGGGAATTGCAGAGTGTTGCTTAAACTCACTAATGTTTGTCAAACTTTAATGGGCATAATACTCACGGAGAACTTCAATAGAGCATATTGTAATACAGTGAGTAGGGTCTAAGCTTCTGTGTCTAAGGAACTTGTCGCCAGTAACAGTCTGCAGACCACAGGGCAATCCAGGGCCTGTCTGCCTTCTTTATCTCACTGCAGACTGTCCTTAGGTTTGCCTTGTGTAAGTCTTCAAGGCTAGAAGTGCTCGAACTTGACAATTCATAAAATGACTGGTTCTCCAATTTCATACATATTTAAGACCACCAAGTTACAGTTAGGCTGCCATACATCCTTCTTTCTCATTTTGTCATGGATTCACTGCTTCACCCCAAGAAGACTGAGAAAATGTACAATTGACACTTAACTATTATGTCCATGTATGTGAAAGTAAGCTTTTGCTCTCTCTCTCCTCTCTCTGTCTCTCTGTCTCTCTCTCTCTCTCTCTCTCTCTCTCTCTCTCTCTCTCTCTCTCTCTCTCTCTCTGCTTTCCATCAAAGCTCTTCATTGTCTATTTCTCTGAGTGCATGCTGTGTTAATGTATAAAACCCTTCTTCCCTCTTCACATCCTTGTCTTTTCCTTCAGGACATGCATGTCATTAGCACAGATGAGAATCAAGTGTTCGCAGCTGTCCAAGAATGGAACCAGAACGACACATACAACCTCTACATCTCAGACACCCGTGGTGTCTACTTCACCCTGGCCTTGGAGAATGTCCAGAGTAGCAGAGGCCCTGAAGGCAATGTCATGATTGACCTGTATGAGGTATGTCACCAAGCATATGTGGTTCTGGAGGACAGCAGCACACAGACTAACTGATGAAAGATGGGTCACTTTATCATTCTAACCCTGGTCTTGGAGAGTGTCACTTTACCTGAGAAAAGGAAAGACTTACAGAACATTCTTGTTGTTTAGTTTTCAACTCATAGTATTTTTTTAAAGAGATTTTAAAAAATGATTCTGCTTGATAAGAGCAGCTGCAGAGAATTTGGAAAGTATCCGTGGGGAGGAAATCATACAATTAAAGGCTTGCATAATATTGATGTACATCTGATAGGGTATTTGATATATGATATGATATTTAGATACAGTTTTGAATGGCTAACAGGGTTTTGTGTAAGGAATCAGAGGGCAATACTCTCTTACCTGACTCTGAAGTGACATGGATGGAACATCTTTTTATGCTATGAGAATTCATCCATAGCCTTGAAGAAGTTGGGCCTTGAAGAAGTTCCCAACTCGAGAACCTCAGCTTGCTAGTGTCCTACTTCTCAATGGCTAATGCATGATATAATTTCATAAGATCTTTTTAAAACAAAATCCTGAAAAATTTAACAAAAAAGTACAACAAACTAGAGTTTACCCAACTTCCCTCAGGGCACTGTGGCTCTTTGCTTTTCTAATAATCAATATTCAATGTAAAATCATGTAAGTTGGATCAATAAGTTATAATGAAAAACAGTACCAAGGGTGTTATGATCTTTCTTTTGTTATGAAGTGCAGTGGTATTACTTTGGAAACAAGGATGTACACTTTATAGAAACATAATAGATTAGTTACAAGCTTAATATTTTTTCATATTCATACCCTTTACTACCAAGGCTCAGTGGTAGTCATTGAAGAGGGGACAGGATGATTAAAAGTTCATGAGGCAGTGGATGATTATAGGCAAACTGTGTTTTCTGGACATGAGAGGCTATTTGTACACAGGAACTCACAGTAGCTGTTGACTGCATGCATAAGTTGTGCACAATACCAAGCCAGAGAAAATCATAGCAAGGATAGGGGAGGGAGCTTGCAGAGTCCCAGCCCTCCCTGAGGAGCTACTAGAAACTGATGGCTGCAGGAGGAGAAGGGGAGTTAATCTTCTTCAGGGTTGAATTGTCTTTAAAGGTACAAAAGATATAAAGCAAGCTACTCTTTGGGGATGAATTGCATCTTTTGGTCATTTTGGATGTATTATGATGGATTCAGAATGAATTAGAATGAGTTATTTAATGACATATTCAGGGTTAGAGAAATATAGTAACAGATCTATACTCTATCTGAAAGAATGTCTGAATGGATTCAGACATATGCAGTCATAAAGACATTGCCATTTTGTTCAGATCAGAGATTAAGAAGAATCATAGTGTAATCTCCAATGATAAAATAAACCAACTTCACTTAAGAAACTCAAGCCCAAGTGTACATCCGTTTAATGTGTTCTATTTTCCCTTTCGTTTGGTTTAGAGGTTTAGTAGCTAAACCTTTTTTTGTGTGCATAAAACCAGGTTCATAGACTGGTATGTTCCCCAAAATAAAAAAAAAAATGAATGGCATGCTTAATTCAGAATTTGACAGATTAGTATAATATATAGATATATATGATATATATGTACATATGCATATATATATGTATATATATATGCATGTATATAGTTAGGATATATATATACTTAAGAAAGCACTAGATATAGTGTCCAATATCTCAAGCTCCAATTGAATATTTATACTGGAAAACATTTACATAATTTCAAGATTTAGTGTCAAGAATGTTCTAGATAAAGTTTGTTGTATATTATAACATTTTAGAAATCCAAGCTGTCTGAGTTTGGATTCTAGTTGTATTGATATTTCTGTTGAAATGCATGCTCAAGACAAGTGCATAGCTTCTGAGCCACACTTGTTGAAAACATAGAGATGAACAGAGTACCCAGTAGATTGCTCTGAGCATGAAGTCAGTCCTTGCTCACTACTACCGTAGTGCCTGAAATACAATGTGTATAATGAAATATAGAATTATTACTATAATTTTGCAGTGTGCCTGGGTAGCACATGGCATTCTATTCTGACGCTCTTAAAACATGTACACATTTTAAAATGCCAGGCACATTTCCATCAGTGGGACTTTCTGCTTCTTTCTATATTCGAGTTAGCAGTAACGTCTGAGAGTCTTAACACTGGGCACTTGTCTTACAAATGGTATAAATTTTAGCACTCCTTTCATTTGGAAATGTCCTATGAACATTTAACTTGAAGTATATTTCGTTGAAATGGCCTGCATTCTCTTGCCTTGAGCAAGCCACACAATAGACGCATCTGTGAGGGATAACCCATGTGCCACCTTAATGATCCAGTTTAGTTTCTTGAGCCTGGTTCTGGCCTTTGCCCCCTAGCGCAGCCTGAATACATGGGCAGGTGCCTAGGCTTACCGCAACTTGATATGCTGTGTTTTGCTGACACTCAGGGGAGACCGGTCCTTTCCTAAACAGAAATGGAGAGGGAATTGTGGTGGGAACAGAGGGGTTTGGGGAACTGGGAGGAGAGGAGGGAGGAGAAACTGAGACTGGGCTGGGAAATAAATGCATAAATGTAAAAAGTAAAACAATAAAAGAGAGGAAAGAGTAGGTCAAAAACAAAAACAAAACAAAAAGTGAAGAATGTATACCCAGGAAGATCAACCGAGTCACCCCAAGGTGTCCTGCAGGGTATTTTTTAGCCATATTTGGCCAGAGCAGTAAGTAAATAGTAAGTTTTAGTTTGATGCTAATATCAGTCATGTTTTGATTCATGCAAATCAGTAAACATCTCTGGAACCCTAAAACACACAAAACACACACACACACACACACACACACACACACACACTTTCAGTTTCTTTTCTTCTTCCCGATTTCCCGATTGCCCCTTTCCCTTTCAATTAAAATGGGCTCTTTCCAAATCAATTTAAAAACATGGATTCTCTAGGTTAATTTTATTTTCTGTCGGAAACGAAGACCATGTTCCAATGTTGGTCTCTTGACAATGGAACAGGTGAATAAACTGGGCAGAAAAGACTTTGTAATGAACTGCTTGCAACCCTTTCCTTTTGGTTTTACAAATGGCTTTATGAATTCAAACATTGCATCAGGCATGGGATGAGAAGCAGCAGCAGCAGCATGACTGCTGGGCATAACAAGGGTTCCTTGTTAATCCTGCACTTGTCCTTCATGTCTCTTGCTGTTGACTATCTGGAGGGAAACTGCTGGCTCTTATTAGCATCATTTTGAGCAGTGGTGTGACTGCATTATATAAAGGTGTTCTGCATCTTGGGGCAGGGAGAGAAGTGTCTTTGCTTTATTACCTTGACAGTTCAGAGCAACTTGAATTGAAATTGATGTGAGCAGAACATCAGTGGCATATCTGCTGATTACCTAGATAGAAAGAATATTGGCAGATACAAGGCCTGGCACAAACGTCCCCTTAAATCTGATTGTTCTGGATAGCAGAAGCTGAAATTCATCCAGTGCAAATTTCCCGGTAGAATTGCAATGAATGATGAGCGCTTAGAGATAAGCGAAAAGCAAGAGAACCCATGAATGAATTAATAAGCAGCAGAGATGAACAACATACGAGGTGGGTGTGACAGAGATAGGAAGCCAGGGAGTGTGTGTCTGCTCACATTGGGATTATGAAGGAGAATGCCATTCCTTTGTATGCTATTCTTGCATGTGTGTATGTGTGTACTCACACAGCCATTGTAGCAAATGCAAACCATATGAATAGGTGGGACTGTATCTCAAGTGTACCTACACATGGGGATCTTTGTGGAAAACAAAAGAAAAAAAAAACTTTGTTGCTATTAAATTCAATCATTTCTTTCACACACATAGCAACCTGGGCTCAAGTGCTGTGCTTTCAATTCTATAACTGTGTGTGTGTGTGTGTGTGTGTGTGTGTGTGTGTGTGTGTGTGTAATGAGATATGAGAGTGATGAAAACAAAGTATTATTAGAGACACAGTAGTGTGGCTTAGCTAATGAAATGCTAGAATTTTCTCATAGTGTGGGTTATCTCTTTATATGTTCTCTGTTCAAAGAGGTGAAGAAATGTGAGTTAGGAAATTTGGTTAAAAACCAAACATCCCAGAAATTCATCTTAAAATAAAATTTAGTGATAACAGTTAATATCTGAAGTATAATATACAAAGCAATATATAAAGAACTTTCCATAATTCTTTGATTTGGCCCATAAATTATCTTCTTAATGACTACAGTCACTTTCTCCTTGTAAAGTAAATAGAGGCCAGAGTATACAGGCACTTTCACAAGGCTACAGAGCAAATTTAGGACTTAAATAAGGGTTTGTGGATTTTCAACTCCAGTATACCATATCTCCCTTGAAAAGTCACTATCTTGCATTTGATTGTAAATCTTCAATAGTGCAAAGATTGCAGGGTAAATCAAGCCTAGAGAAAGAGTTGTAGTTTCCCTAGATGTGGGGGAAAAACAGACAGGAAGAAGAAAGAATTGAGGAAAAGTCAATTGCTTTAGACTGTGTCTAGATCTTCAGAAACAAGTCCAAAGTAACATACAAATCCAGATAGTAATTACATATAGCTGTCAACTTTGTCTTGTAGAAGGAAATATAGATATATGAAAATCATGGAAGCAAATGTTCTAAAATTCTGTTGTTCCCACAGAACTCGAATGCTTCAGTGACTATGTGGGTTGAGTAACACGAGAGAACATATTTCATTGTGATTAGCGCAGTAGAGATGTAATGGGTGTGTCTGGTTACTGTGATTTCTAGCGTATTTGTGTGTGTGTGATGAAAAGGAGTTGGACAGTTTTGAACAATGCCACCCCTCCTCTGGGAAGGGAAAATTAATTAATGATGAAGAGCACTTTGGCTTAATGGAAAATGATGGCTCAGGGCAGCTGAGTGTGAAAGGCTGTGGGTAGGAGTGATCCTACTTGGCTGAAAAGTGCAGAATGCACAAAATGTGAGGCATGCCAGGCACCA